CTCTTTGGACTCTTCAGCCGAGGTATGGGTATGGCTGAAGAGTGGTTGGCTGGATTAACCCAACTCTTTGGACTCTTCAGCCGAAGTATGGGTATGGCTGAAGAGTGGTTGGCTGAATTAAACCAACTCTTTGTACTCTTCAGCCGAAGTATGGGCATGGCTGAAGAGTGGTTGGCTGGATTACACCAACTCTTTGTACTCTTCAGCCGAAGTAAGGGTATGGCTGAAGAGTGGTTGGCTGGATTAAACCAACTCTGAGTACTCCTCAGCCGAAGTAATTATGTCGGCTAAGGAGTGGTTGGCTGGTAAGCATAGCTAGTTTAAGCAGCAAAAACCGAGATAAAAGTTGGAAGTGTTAAACATACACATCAACCGAAGTAAGAGATAATGAAAATTTTCATTCATCAGAAAGCAAATACAAAGGAGGGGCCGTAGCCCGGTTACAAGAGTAAAGAAGTAGCAAAAAAAAAGAAAAGGTACAAAATCAAGAGAAAAGGTCTTCAATCTCGGCATCAATGTCAACTTGAATGCCGGTTGCAGATGGAACATCCGTCTCAGCAGCAACTGGCAGAACGATATCAGTCGATGGCTCAACAGTCAGGTCTTCCACCGTTGCCTCCAACCGAGCTGATTGATCGTTGCCTTGCGTGTTGACTACCGGAATAACAGTTTGTTCGTTTTCATCGTCTGAATCATCTGAATCCTACAAGAATTGTTCTTGGACCGAAGCAGCATATTCCGCAAGCGAGGCCGAAATAAAGTATTGTGGAGCATTGTAGACCTCGGTTTCAGGCCCACAGCCGAGCTGCTCCACCGCACTTCTCCAGCCGCACTTGAAGAATAAATCCTTTACCCCCTCGCATTGCGGAATATAGAGGCCCTCCGCTTCTTTAAAACCTTGGGCATTGGCATCACTGATCTTCTTCTTCAGATCCACTATTTCGGTGTCTTTTTTGCCTTCGAGTTTGGCCAACTCGCGCAAATATTTATCTTTCACCGTTATTGCAATTTTTTGTTTTTCAGCTTCAGTCGAGCTAACAAGTCCGGTCAAGCGACCGTTCTCGAACTGTAGCTCGGCTATCCGCTTCTTGGCATTCTCAAGTTCGGCTGTCTTTGCCTTGGCGTCTGCCACGGCATGCCTTGTTGTCTTGCGGAGCTCCAGCACCTTTTTATGTGCAATATTGTTCTTCTGAATGGCCCGCAAAGGAATGGTAACCCTCTTCAGCCGGACTGACAGTTGGGAAAAATTAGACAGAAAAGGGAGAGCCACTTACCAGGATCATTGATTTTGTAGAAGACCGAATGGCCTTCAGCTCGGTGTTTAATTGCTTATTGTGGTGCTCCATATCCTTCGGAAGGCAAACACTCTTGGCTAGATTGAAAGCCATCAAGTGATCCTTCTCAGCAACGACCGAATCAGACTCCTGGATATCTCGGTCTTGAAAAGTTAGAATTGGAGCCCATTTGGAGGAGTCAGCTCGGTCAGTTTGCTCCGGTTGAATGATGGGTTGAGGACTTGGTGGAGGGATGGATTCGTCCTCATCTACAAGTTGTTGTTCGGTCGGGGTAGATCGGGCGCGCTTAGAGGGGCGTGATGAAGAAGGCTGTTGAGAAGGGAGGGCCACAACGGCAGGCTGCGTTTGGCCTGGTGGCGGTACTTCGGGCCTGTTTGTCTCGGTTAGAAGCGCCCTTACTCTGTTCTTTTTAGCCATTTCTTCTTCGGCAGTTAGTGGAATTAGTCTGATTTGTGGTAAGGTTGGGTCCGGCTCTGGTGCGTCTTCAAGAAGAAAATCAGTCACTCTGGCTTTTCGGCGACCACTGTATCTGTAGGTTGGCTCGAACTTTAGCAATTTGGCCCAACTACGTTCTGGATACCGTAGTGCGGCGCGCAAAGTAGCTAGGTTTGAGTAGCTGTATAAAGAATTAAGGTGGGCAGAATCTGCGAAAGAAGACAACTGTTAGTTCGGCTGAAAGATTGAAAAACTGAAATATCATAAAGCAAGCAAGAAAACCGAAGTAAGTATACCGAGTTCTCTTTTTTTCCAATTTATACGTCGGCCAGGAATCTGGGCTTGATGATCCTCAAAGTTCCCAGACACCCAGAAAAAATCGTCGTCGTTTAAGTCTTTGTCCGGTGTGTGTTTTATCATCTTCTCTCGGCGACGTCGTATTCTTAAATAGTAGACCCACCCATCTTCTTTTGAACCAATGGAGTATTGGTGGAAGATTTCGGCCAGGCCAAGATTTAGTCCGGCTTGGCGGTTCAGTTCGGCTATTCCCATTATGATGCGGTATGAATTGGTGGATAGTTGGGTAGGGCATAGTCTAGTTTGCCTAAGAAACTCGCAAATTAAAGGTTGGACTGGAAATCGTAGTCCGGTCTCGATCATGGACAAAAGGGTGAAAGGAACAAAGCCTTCATTATCCCAAGGAATGACATCTTTTTCGGCTAAAATCAGGTGGACGTCATCAGGAATATTGTAGTCCTTTCTGAATTCGACTAGGCCGCCCGGAGTGTCTACTAGATACCTATACTTCCCTATTTATTGTATAAATTATGAATAAATTAGATCGGTGCAAAAGTTGTGCTCAGTAGCTCGGTTGAGCGCACGGAGGAGTGCCTGAGCAACCTAAGTTTGCAAAGTAGAAAACAAAGGGGTTAAGCACAGATCATTGGACTGTGCTACAAATTAAAAGCAAGGTAAAAGAGCCCTACTTCGGCTTTGTGGACAGGTTCTATCTCGGTTCAGCAAAATGCTTGGTAGCTCGGATTGAGCATAGGGTTCGCAAGATCGGTTTTTGTATAAGGTTGGTTATCTCGGTTTGAACTATGGGTTTTGTTACTTCGGTTGAGCCTCTAGGGGTAGCTTTCTGAGTTTGGTTTAGAAACTAAGGAAGCTGGCTTAGCCCCAAAGGCTTAGCTCGGTTGATGGCCGAGGTTCCTAGTTTACTAAGTTCAAACTTCATTCGGTGAGTTTATCTCAGCTAAAGTGAATCAGGAGTTGGTAACTTGTTGACACTACTGTTATTTCTACGAGTTCTAGTTCGGTTATTGTCTGAGTTGATCTACATATATAGCATAAACAGTATCCTAGTTCGGTTGCATCATGATTTTGGATCAAAGACTAGTCTTCTACAGGATATTGCATACACGCATGAGTTCTGTAAAGTTTTTCCAGTAAAGTATAGGGCAAAGCAAATGGAAAGAATATGTTTTGCAAAAACACACGAAACAAACTACATGGAAGTAAATAAAAGCAAAGAAAGATGGATGGATTCCAGTTGCTTACCAAACGAAGACGAAGAAACACTAAAGATGGAAAAATGGCAGCAAAATCACAGTCTCTTCAAGTGTAACGGAAGAACAGCGAGAACACAGGGTGGAGAGAGAAGAGATGTAATAGTAGAGTGGTTAATCCAAAATATAGAAGGTGTTTTGTGTAAAAGAAGGAACGAAAGAGAAAAAGCAGGAACTGTTCAAATTTTTCGTAGTACGAGGGCAGCGTGACAGCTGCCCCCAGCCTATCAGAGCCTGCCACATGTCATTGGAAAGGGAAGCGTTACAGTCGTTGTGATTGAAGAGACGTTTTGACCGGACAAGTAAAGCCCGGAGTGAAATAAGCTCGACCGGAAGGCTAAAGAGTTTTTAGCTCGGCTGGAGAGGCTAAAGGGTTTTTTTAGCTTGGCTGGAAAGGCTTGAAAACTTTAGCTCGGCTGGTAGACAGGTAATCCCAATCATGCTGTGTAGATGGAATTAAGGGGCAATTGAGAGGGTAATTTTGGTGAAAATGGGGCCGAGCTATGAGATGGACTTTATGGCCCAAAGTACGAAGGACTGGGTAAAAAGGCCGAAAAGTTACTCCGGCCCGCCCAAGAATTGTAAAGTTACTTCGGTCCGGAAGCAACTTGAAGTTAGACCGGTCTTGGAGTTATACCGGTCGCGAATCGTTAGTTCGGTCTAAACCGTACCGTGAGTTGCACATGAAGAGTCGAAATAAGGAGTAGAAGGAAGAACTAGTTCGGCTCATTCTACGGCTATGCTTAGTCGTGTTTACTTCGGTCGTATTGGAGTTCGGCCATGGTAAAAACCATCTCACTTGGTTTAAGCAGTGAGGGGGGTGTTAAAGGATAAGCATTATCCTATAGGAGTATGAATCCTAGGAGGACTCTGCATGGAGGAATAGAAGTCCTACTAGGATTGTGCCACTCGAAACCTATAAAAGCTCACAAACATCACCTTTGGGGAGGTAACACACAACTTTGTTTTCTGAATTCACAGAGCTTTGTCTATTTGTCAAGTTTGCTGAATTAGGCATCGGAGAGGTTTCCGGCACACACCCGCCGGCTAGCTCACGTTTGTGTTTTCAGGTGATAAGGCGACGTCGTACGGAGGAGCGCAGACTTGGTCAACAGAATTATACGAGAAGGTTTATTTCTTTCCCGTACAGAAGGCAACCAACAAGCAACAAGCAACAAGTGGAGATTCATGAAAGAAAAAGAAAACAAAAAACGACCTAAAACACAACGATCATAAAATTTTTCTAACCCACACAAGGCTAATTTGGGAAAAACATATACAGGAGTTACAACCCAAGTTTGGATGCTGACCTACCCCCTAAACAACCTTCGAACACCGTTTATTAATTTCAAAAAGATTAAAAAAATAAAAATAAATAAAACTGGAAATGAGAGGGTAATTTTGATGAAAATTGGGCCGAGCTATAAGATGGACTTTATGGCCCAAATTACGAAGGACTGGGTAAAAAGGCCGAAAAGTTACTCCGGCCCAAGAGAGATAAAGTTACTCCGGCCCGCCCAAGAATTGTAAAGTTACTTCGGTCCGGAAGCAACTTGAAGTTAGACCGGTCTTGGAGTTATACCGGTCGCGAATCGTTAGTTCGGTCTAAACCGTACCGTGAGTTGCACATGAAGAGTCGAAATAAGGAGTAGAAGGAAGAACTAGTTCGGCTCATTCTACGGCTATGCTTAGTCGTGTTTACCTGCAGTTGGGGTGTTTGTCGGAGCACCGATACCTTTCCTTTGACCTTCGCCGGCTATTTTCATCGGTGGTTTCGGATTTTGTTCACGCCTTGTGTGTCGATGCCTTGCTTCCCCAGCTCTGGTTCTGTCTCTTTATTCATCTTGTTTGATTTATGTCACTGATGACAAGCTTCAGCTGAAGGGACTGTTTGGTGTACCTGGTAAAACAGATTATAGATTATAATTTAATAGGTTATAAATTATGATTTTAATTAGAAGTTGTTAATCTGTTTGGTATACTTGTTGAATTGTAGATTTATGTTGTTGAGTAGTGTTTGTTAAATAAGTTGTTAAGTAGTTTTTTCAATTAATTTTTATTTTTTATTATTCATTATTTGTTTACATTTCTCATAAAAAATAATAATAATATTTTGTAGTCCATTTGGGTCTTTTTCTATTTTTAAAAAATAAAAAATAAAAAAAATTTAAGAGTATAACTGTGAATTAATATGTTCACAGCAGAAACTAATAATCAGAAGCAACTGGTGAGCAACTTCTCAGAATTAACTTTTTTGACTTAAAATAAGTTGTTAGAATCAGAAACTGTTTGAAATAAGTTTAATCAAACAATTCAAAATAACTTTTTAAAAGTCAAAAGCCATAAGTTGGCTCAAAAAAACCCCACTAATCACCCCCGAAGTCTGCTGCTGTTGCCCATCCTTGCAGGTGTGTTGACATAAAGCCAGGGTAGAGTCACCGTTTGATAACACTTACGTTTTTAATTTTCTCTTTATATTTATAAAAATTTTAAAAATTCAAATAAAAATTTGTTTGGTAAATTTTTGATTTATAAATCAATGGTCTCAGTTTATAAATTTGGCCAAAAAATGTAAACTCAAAAAATGTGTTTTCGTTTTGAATTTTAAGTTTTTTTTTTTACCACCCCCCCCCCACCACCACCTGCCCCCACCACTCGCCACCACCACCACCTGCCACCACCACCCAATACACCACCATCCACTACCTGCCACCGTTACCCACTCACCCACCACCACCACCATCACCACCACCCACCCGGTTTGACATAAATTCAACCAATTGATTTTCCCAATGCCGTTTGAAGCATGTTGTTCTACATACCGTTTGTATAACTCCTTTATTTGATATTATTCACTGGGCTTTCGCTCACGCTCATTCATGTGTTTGTAGGTGAGCCAAGAGAAGTCCAAACCCAGCCCCAGTGAAGTCTGTGAGGA